AAGCAGCATCCCTCCATGGCCTCTGCATCAGCTCCTGCCTCCAGGTTCCCATCCTGAGTTCCTTCCCTCACTGCTTTGAGTGAAACAAACCCTTTCCTCCCCAGCTTGCTTTTGGTCATGGTGGTTCATCACAGCAATAGTAACCCTAACTAAGACCTTGAGTGTGGGAGTCTGATCTCCATCTATCAAATGGGTTCCAAGAACTAATTCAGGTCATCAGGCTCGGTGACAAGCACCTCTCTACCCGCTGGACCATGTCCCAGCCCTCTTCTTAATTCTTGGTTGTTGTTTCTGTGCTTGGACTTGGTACCATGCTTCCTAACTCTACACAGAACCTCTGCTGTTCAGGGAAGCTTGTCTTCCTACATCGAACCAACAAAACCAGATAAATGACCATCTAGCAATCTGGCAGAAGGAATCACTTGGACATTTTTCAAGATGGACAACACAAACTTAAAACATGGAATGTTCCAGAAGGAAGAAGGAAAATGGTGCTGACAAAACCCAAGACTACCACAGTCGGCACTGTCATGGGAGTACCACTGGCTAACTTGAATATTCAAGTACATTCCGTGGCATCTCCAGACAACAGAGGCAGCAGGGGATTCAATATGGACACAAGGATGTTTCCAGGTGTCTAAAAATGCAGAGAATTCAGAGCCTCTGCATTTTTGATAGTAATCAGGTCAGGCATTTGACACTTGAGGTGGCAAAAAAAAAAAAGTTTGAATAGTAATATCCCCTTTCCCTCCTTGCCAAATATCCTAGTCCCAGCATTCTTTTGGTCCACACTCACAGCCACAGCTGCTTAATCTCAGCTGCCCCAGGCTGCACCTGTGAATCAGACCAAGCTAATCACACTAACAGATGGCAGTGGCCAAGTAGCCAGCTAAGAACTGCTATCTCTTTAAATAGCACTAATGTTTCACAGGCCCCTCCCTGCAGCAGTAATCCTGGTACAGCTAACACCAGCCCTTAATCACCACACAGCACCCATCTTAGGGACAGAACTGGTGTCATTTGAGAGCTAATTACCAAAAGCCCCACTGCAAGGTGAAAGTGTGGCAACCTCTCTATGGGGTGGCACCATTACACACCATGCTCTGCAGCCTGGCCCTTCTACACAGATGCTGAGCAGTCAGGAAAGAAGTCACAGCAATAGCCCCAGAGGTCCCCATCAGGCAAACTCGGAGACAGTAGGAGATTCCAATCACTCAGCTTTGGTTGTTACATAAGCTATACCTGCTGTTACTTGTCATGACATCATGTGTGCTCCTGGTAACGTCGCCAGGCAGCATACTTGACCCAGCACGGAACAATTCCCAGGTGTGCCAGCAAAACCAAGTGGGTGGAAACTGATGTCTCAATCAACCGTGGAGGCACCCACATGTGGTACCACTTGGGAGCTGTAAACAACTGTGCAAACATATCATCCCATCCCCGTTGGGACCTGGGATAGCCACGGGTACCAGTCTTCAAGGGGCTGGACACTTCCCTTTGCTCCCTGAGACTATTTTCTGGTCACTATAATAAGACTCACTACTTTCTGCATTAAGAGTTACTGGAGGCAGTACCTGAGCCAGCACCCAACCCCAGTGCCCTCCAGATCTGGTTTGGGAGGGTTCCACCTCCTGCTTCAGGGAGAGCCAAAGAACAGCAACTATGCACAACATATTCTGCTGAGCCCGTGTTGTAATCAGAGAATAGTAAGAAAGGTAACACGCCTTTGCAAGGTTGTCACAACCCATAGTAGCACAGACTTTCACTTGCCTTCTTGGTTTTTATGAACATGGCTAGTAGTTTCTGTCTGTTTGGGGCAAGTGTGTGTGTGTGTGTGTGTGTGTGTGTGTGACACATGGACACGGACACACACCCCACATCCCTAACTAGCTAAGTCTGAAGACAAGCTTAAGGAAAATGCATTTCTACAGGGTTCCCAAGTGATGCTGACACTGCTGGTCCAGGCCAACTTGAAAACCACTTTGCTAAGTAAGTGCTCACTCTCCCTAAAGTAAAAATTACATTCTCCAAATTATTTCTGCTTATGCCCAAACTATTGCGACTTAAGAACAAAGCCAAATATTCACTGCAGTGACTATATTTACCCCAGGAGCTAACAACATTCTCTTTGTTAGCTAACCCAGGCTAAGTGATGGTGTTTTCAATAAACAGTACAGGAATAACAATATCCAGAGGTAAGAGAAAATAAATCTAGGCACAGACCTTGCAAATAGATCACAACTGGAATATAAATGTAAAGCACAAAACTATAAAACCCCCAGGAGGAAGAGGACTGCCCTTGAGTTCACTTCTGACATCTTAGAGACGACACCAAAGGCATGAGGGGACCCATGAGAAAGCTGATAAGTGAGGGTTTAAAATGCTTGCACTGGGAGACACTGTTGAAACACAGGTATTCACACACTAGGAGAGAGAACTTGAAATAAGAAAAGGAGCAGAGGACTGCTATCCAAAACATACAAACTTGAAGCTCAACAATAAGAAAACAAACAACACAATTAAAAAATAAGCCAAAGCATTTACCAGACACTCACCAAAGAGCACATGGAGATAACAGTCAGGCAAATAAAGATGCTTCCCATCCTCATCACAAGGAAATGCATTCTAGAATGGCAGAAATCCAGAGCACCAGCATCACCAAATGCTGGCAAGAATGCAGAGCAAGGGGAGCTTTCCTTCATGGATAGTGGCAACGTAAAATGTTGTGGCTGCTTTGGAAAGTGGTTTGGCAAGCTTCCAATGAACCTGAACTTACCACAGCATCTAACAGTTATGTTCCAAGGAGAAGAAGAGGAAGTGCATATCTAAACAAACCCACACCTAGTCTATGGCATCTCTACTCATGACTGCCAAATCTAGGCAACAACCAAGATGTCTTTCAACAGAGGGTTGCATAAACTGTGTACAAAGAAACTAGGAGATACTTTTCAGTACTGAGAAAAAATTAGCTGAATTCTGTGGGAAATTCAGGGGGAAATATGTAATGCATATCACTAGAGAGAAAATGCCAAGTGTGTATTTCTGCACAGGCAAAGCTAAGGGATGGGCGAGTGTGTGTGTGTGTGTGTGTGTGTGTGTGTGTGTGTGTGTGTAAGTGATGCTCAGCAATGTTTAGGACAATAAAAATTTGTGATAGCACAAGGATAGAGATGTATTGCTATTCATTTGCATAAGTCCCAGGGCCGACAAGTGAACCCTGAGGATCACAGACCTTGGGCTCCAGTGCTGAGTCGATGTGGGCTCTTCAGAGGTCCAAAGTGTTGTTGACAATGGGAGACTTGGGGCAGGGAAGAAGTATGTGGGTAATCTCCTAATTTTGCTGTGAGCTATCCTAATTGCACCTTTTTTTTTTTTTCTGGTTCTCCTTCCTCCACCTCTGCAGCTGAGACTACAAGCATGTGCCTGTGCTCAGTCATAGTGCTGGAGATTGAGAACAGGACTTTATGCGTCCTGGGTAAGCACTTTACCAATCAAGGTACATCACCAGCCCTAAAACATATTTTTAAGGCCACAGGCTCATTTTAGTAACTGATTACTATTATCTATGACTCATTTAATTCACTTGTGAGCAAAAAAAAAAAAAAAAAAATCCTTTCACAAAAACAGGGAATACAACAGGCATGGGGGAAAAAAAGCAAAACAAACAAACAAAACCACCATCTCTTTGGAACAGTCCAGCCCTGCCTGGAGAAGGTAACTGATTCTGTGTTTTGCTTCTTTAAAGAACAGGTGTTCACAAGCACTGAGTCTTGGAAGCACATGCTCTCCTTCCATCTCCCTAACTTCCCAGAAGACATGGCTGCCATTCCCATCTAAGGCCCAGACAGCAGCTGAGACGTGAATCAAGTCTGGAACTCTGGCTGCCCAGCTCCAAGAAGCTGGCCATGTTATTCTTACCCGGCAAGTCAGCAACCTCAAGAGTCAGTACCCAGTGCCCACCGCCTTGAGACATGCCAGCACTCACCCCCTTCCTCATCACCGTCCTCAGAGGAAGACATGCTTTCTTCCCCTCAGCAAGAGCAGTGTTGCAAAGGCTGGGGGTCTCTCAGCCTCAGAACATGTGTGCTCTGGACCAGATCATCTTGTTAAGCTATACAACACATATAAGGAACATCTCTGACCTCCAACCACAAGCTGCCACCAGGCCCCATGGAGGACTTTCCAAAATGGATCAGTTGGGCAAGCTGGCTCACACCTGTGGGCCCCAGTACCCAAGAGGCTCATGGAAGGATCACACAAGCCCAGGAGTTCAAGTCCAGTCTGAGCAACAAAGTTGAGACCTTGTCTCCATAAATGAATAAACCAGTAATAACAATGAAAAACTCCAGGGAGGTAGGAGAGGCAATCACCCCTACGTCAGGAAAGGCATGACAGGGGTTATGAAGAAAACTAAGATGGCCACAAGACCTATTAGTTGGTCTATCTGTGAACACTGAGATACCAAAGAAGAAAGTAAAACCACAGACAGAAATAGTGTTTGGAAGAGAGAGCCGTTGACACAGAAAAGAAAGGACAAGTGGCGAGAGGGTGGACAGCAACACACTTTATTCCCAAGTTAGAAAATAGGGACAGCAGACATAGCAGGTGGGGGGGGGCAGTGAGGGTCAAGGGACACAGCACGGTGGTTTGGAGGAGTCAACAGAAGACAGGTGAGGACTCGACAGAAGGCGGGACTTCCCCTCGTCACTCCTCTCTCGGAGACCTTCAGAGGCAGGTTACTTACTCTGGTTGTTCCTGTTCTCACTGACAAAGTCTTCGGAGCTATCTGTGTCGTCCTCGTCATCTCCAGATGAGATGGCATCTGCATTCAAAAGAACATATCCATGGATGCGTTTGCAAAGGCCAAAGTCACCATCACCTGCAGCTGAGCTCTTCTCAGAGAGAGCTCAGCCACCCAAGAGCCCAGGAGGAATGTCAGAGACCCTATGTTGCTAATATGGTTTTAATGGCTTAAAGTGTCTCTGTGATGAGTCCATCTGATTCCCAGGGTTTTCTCCTATCTAAAATTGGAATGGTTTTTGAGCTTCAAACAGTATACAAATCCCCAATAATTTTTAATGATTTATTTATTTTTATTTTACATGCATTGGTGTTTTGCTTGCATATATTTCTGTGTGAGGGTGTTGGATCCCTTGAAATGTAGCCACAGACAGTTGTGAGTTGCCATGTGGGTGCTGGGAATTGAACCCGGGGCCTCTGGAAGAACAGCTGATGCTCCCAACTGTGAGTCCCACACCCCAACAAATTTTGACTCTATAATAGCCCAACATTGGTTTTATTTCCCATTTTCAGTATTTGGGGTTTCTTTCAAGATAGAAGTGACTCCCTAACAAAATTCAGTTTCCTATGTGGACTTTCTGATTGCTAACTAGAATTCTGAAGGCAGAATTCCCAACTGGCCACAAAGGAGGCCTGTTGCTACCCATCCCCTTCACTATAATAACAAGGAGAAAAATTCAGAGTTTAATAAAGGAACCAAAATCTAGATTCCCACATTTCAATTCTATACTGTAAATGCCAAGAATGCTGGGAGTGTGTAGGGTGAAGAGGACTCTGTGTGCTCTGACTTGGAATATCTCGGTCACTTGAGAAATCTGTGGTACATCAGGTACCAGTGAGGAATTTCAGAAATAGATCAGCCAGGCATAGTAGTCTATGCCTGTGGTATCGGCTTGTGTGTGTGTGTGTGTGTGTGTGTGTGTGTGTGTGTGTAGGGTGGGGGTGGGGGTGGGGCGATGAGTCTAGGAGTTCAAGCCCAGCCTGGGCAACAAAGGAAGACCTTGTCTGGAATGAATAGCAAGCTGACACTTTATGTGCCTGGCAGTCAATGAGTACAGTTCACTGTGATTTCACTTGGCCGAAAATAATAACAACTTTCAATCAGAAAACAGCTACAGAAGAGACAGAGTGTCACACTTGCAAGCCCACTCACCTGTGACATTCACCATGAAGTACCAAGTGTCACTGTCTACCGTCCTAGCTGTAGTACAAGCATAGAGGCCGGAGTCTCTAGGTGTGGTGCCTTTTATCTGCAAGTACTCCCCAATAAGCACTGTCCTATTGCTGGGCCCCAAGTGCACCCCATCCTTAGTCCAACTGATCACCGCGGCATCTTTCAACATGCAGTGCAACTCTAGCGACTCCCCGGGGGCGACCACGTACGATTCTGGTTGGGAGATTTGGTATTTGGTTGGTGGCTCTGTAGAACAGGTGGGAGAGAGAAGACAGAGGCAGATGGGAAAGGAGGGAGAGGAGAGAAGGTCCAACAAAGGTCAGTGGAGGCCAGTTCTTTCCCAGGAGACGCTGTTCTTGTTTTACAAATGGCCTCAGGAGCTGCCCATCTCTCACCACACCCCAGAAGCCAGGAAGCAGCCCCCACACAGACTTGACTGACAGCCCTGGAAACAACGGCCACAGAAGCAGCCAGAAGCTGTCCTGTGTTGGTTTGTTTCCACATACTGTAAACAGGGCTTTAAAAACCAGCCATGCACCAGAGTAGAGGGAAAATCCGTAAGAAAAGTCTAAAGGTACTGATTGCCAAGTTAGTCATTCAACATGAGGGAGGTGTATGCGATCTCTCTCTCTCTCTCTCTCTCTCTCTCTCTCTCTCTCTCTCTCTCTCAGACTGTCTTCCACTTAACTATTTACTCATGTTTCACTTAGCCTGTTACCACAGAACCAAGCTTTTGTGAAATGTCTCAAATTCAAGGGCAAATGGACCCATCTACACACTCTTGGTCATTTGGGAAGTGGGGACTATTGACTTTCTCATTTTTGTTAGCTCTCATGGTCCAATCAGTACTGAGCTGGTTCTGTATTGGGTGAGCTGGGAAACGCTGTCTTCCTCAAAATAATACATGCCTGGCTACCCTTTACATCAAAAGAAAGAAAAGGAGGGGGGTCCCTGACAATTAATGGCCCGATACTGCAAATCAGCTTCTGAATAAGGATGCCCACCTCTCATGTTACTAGTGAAGCCAGAGCCATCCTGCCCCAGGCCCCAGTCTCCTCAACATCCTTCTCTTCTTTATGAACACATTGTCCTCCCTCCTGCTCCTGTTTAGCCCAGCTCCTCCTTTGATGCCCACATTAATCATGGTCCTCCATGATCCACCACCCCATATCAGTCACCTGACTGGAAATAAAAGAGATCTCTCCCACTCTAAAGTCCATCTATCTGCACCCCCCCCAAAAAAAAAACCCCACTGGAATAGACACATTGCCTGTGAGTGTCCTGACTTCCTGAGGAAACCTTCGAGTCCCGGGTGGAAAGCTCAACTCTGATAGGTCTTCATGCCTCACTCCCATCTCCATCCTGGGGCACCTTTGACATACACAGAGAAGGCAGGCATACTGAACGTCATCACAGTCCCTGAAGAGGCAGGGAGAGATGAGACCACTGCCCTTCCTCAGGGCCAGGGTGACCCTGAGGGCCCATGAAGTAAGCTTTCATGCCCATAGTGAGAGCTGTGAATGGTACCCAGAGTCTTGAGCCCAGAAAACACAATGCTTTCCGTCTACTCTGGGACGATTCCAGATCTGGGCAGCAACATCTGGGCATCACAAGGCACTTATTCTGCCCAGAGCCCACTCAAAAGAACAAATCTCCCACATGACTAAAATACAGTCCATTCATGCTTTAGTCCCACTATTTAATAAACATCTGGTCCAAGAAATACCAGCACAGCAGCAGCAGCAGCCAACACAAGGGGCCCGGGGCTTTTCACAGGGGATCCCATTCAAACGCACACAAGCCAAGAGGGGCACAGACGTTAAACAGTGCATGAACACAGAGGGAAACCCACATTAAGGAAGAAGATAGGAGTTGATGAAAAAGAAAAACAAAAGGCGGAGAGGGGGGTGGGCAGAAAGCAAGACCCAACTGACAGCCAGGTAAAGTTTAAGGGCTTGTTTTTCTCACTCGTCCACTGTTTATTGAATATCTACCACAGGCCATGCTTTGTTCGGTGTGCTCAGGAAGCAACAGGAGACAAGGCAGAGTCCCTGCTCTGGTGGACCTTCCACTCTAATAAGGCAAAGGAAATTAAATAGAAAATTGACAGAAAATATGAAGTGTGTGAGGTAGTCTTAGAGTGAGATACCTAGGTAGCAGGCCACCTGGAGATGGTGGATGAAGGCCCCACGGGCTGCAGGAGTCAGCAAAGCAAGGCCTAGGGGTGAAGCCAGCCACTTGCTTTCATAAACAAAGACTTCTTGGAGCAGTGCCATACTCCTTTGGGTATGTATTGTCTGGGGTTGCTTTTGTGTTACAAGGGCGGGCTGGAGTCATTGCAAAAGAGATCTCATGGCCTGCAAGCCCCAAACATTGAAAGTGTTGCCCTCACAGAAGGTATTTCAGCTTCTGTTGTAGGAGGTGATGGGAGGAGGCTCTTACAAGGAGTAGCAGGTGCCCTGTGTGCTGGCAAGTAAAGCACAAAGCCAAATTTGAAAGATGTAGAGAGTTCAGTTGGGAGGTTCTCAGATCAGGTCTCCCAGGCCTGTTTAAACCAAGAGGCAGCTGAACTGAGCAGCTAACAGAATGAGGGAGGGGTGGGGCTGTCAAGAAGGCTCAGAGGATGAAGGCACTCCTGCCCCAAGCCAAGACTGGTCCCAGAAGCCCATGAACAGGTGGAAACAGAGGAGAAAACTGACCCTACAAGACTGCAACTCTGACCTCCACATATGCAACGTGGCACATGAGACCACACACACACTCATACATCATACACACACTCAGTAGTACTAATAATAAATACCAATAATAATGACAGCAAGTAAAATAAAAGGTTTATATTTTTTAAGGTCAAGGAAGAGAAATATGGAGAGGAAGGGGGATTCAATTCGACCCCAACACTCACACTTCCTCTCACTCTAGTCCTAGCATCCCTGAAAGAGATTCACACAACATTAGAAAATGGTAGGGCCTTAAAGGCTACCCTACCCACTGAGAAGCCCTTCCTCCACATGATATCAACAAAGGCTCAAGACTCAATGAATTCAGGCTGCACTGCCAGACCATGCTGGACCAATTGGACCATACTGCACCACTATTTCTAGTTCTGCCATGAGAAACACAGGATGGAGAGGGGCTCTCAGGTAGTGCAGGGGACAGGATGTTTGGTAAAGAGGCACTGTCCCGGGTACAGGACACATGAGTGGATTTCCACTCTGCCCTGCATAGCCTCTCAGCCACAGGGTCCTCAAGATACAGGAATACCTAGGGATTATATGTGAGGCACCTAAGAGGCTCGCGCTCTGGAAACTTGATCTGGCAGCCACAACCCACTGACTCAATGTTAGTCATCCCACCATGGTTCTAAAGTTGAAAGTGTTAACCATAGCTGTGGCAGGACATTGTGTCTGGAGAATAAGGAGGAAACAACTGGATTTTATCTCAAGACTTCACAGATGGGCTCGCATCTCAATGAACGATGAGGATAGCCTGACATGCTCAAAATGGGATCTGATTTCTAGTAGAAACTCTAGTTTCCCAGGAAAATGACTGGTTTCTGAGACAGTAAAGTATCTTCTGCAAACAAATAAGACAGATAAGCATCTATGGAATCAAGCCATTCTAGCGTCAAGGCCTCCTCCAAGGCAACTGTCTTGGATAAGATGGAAAGCACAATTCCTCCTGCCTCCGTGATGGCCATTCCACAAGAGGACCCACTTAGTAAACAATGCTACCTCCTCCTTGGGTATCCTAGGAAGGAGGGAGAACTGGGAAATAAAAGCAAAAGAGGGAGGGAAGGGTCAAAACTGCAGAGTGAGGGAAGAGAAGGACATTGAGGGGTGGACAGAACCTTATTAAGGAGGGAAAAAAGCAAACCAATGGCATCCCAGGTCATCTAATGTTCCTACTGATCCAGCTGGTAGGACCCTGAAAATGGAGAACACATATGATACATCATGGGCCAGGGTACTAAGAACATGGGACCCAAAAGGGATGCTGGGGAGAAGCTGTCCTGTTCGTACCTGGCCTTGGAGACTTGTTTGAGAGCTGAAGCCTTCTCTCTGTGGCCAACTCCTTCAGGGAACTTCAGAGTTAGCTACTCACACATTACTTGCTCCTAGAGTCCTGTGGTATTACATACAACTCTACATGCTAATCACCTCATAGTGTCCTATAAGCTGCCAAGACACCAAAGACACCGTGCTTACCACATCCTACCTGAGTCTCTCCCACTCAGGCGGCCTTCTGACACACACAGGCCACTCCTTGCCTGACTACCAAGATGCTCTGTGTGACACATGACAATTGACACAGGGCAAGGAACTCCCTGGGAAATCCAAACAGTCCCTTTTATAGCAATATCAACATTTCTGATGCCGTGGCTTACCGTTGACTTTTTCTCAGAGCACTCCCAAACTCCCTCCTCAGCACTCTCCACAGCACAATGGGGAGAAAGTTCCAGAAGCTACTTTTCTAGACACCAAACATTCTTTAGGAAGTTTCCATAGACAGAAAGCAAGTTCTCATACCTTTTTTTTTATAATTAAATGAGTACTAGGAAAAGAAGCATGGGAGCTAGGCCATGCACTGCCACTGTTACCTAAACTCTCTGAACAAACAAGGTAACAGACATGTTTACTTTCTGGGAGGGATCCACTCAGCTGTTTCTACCTGCTACAAACACAACCGTGGCTGGAGGCTCTCCCATGCGGAGGCTTAGCTGTATTTCTACCCACAAGTTCTATCCCTTGAGACATGCCAGCAGTTTCCGTGTAGTAGGTATATTTTCAGTGAGTTGAATACTCTGATATTCATTAAAAAAAAAAGAGGGCCCTTCACAAAGTCAAAAGTCAATAATGAAAATATCAACAGTGTTGTGGCACAGTGGCACTCAGTGGGCATTTAAGAGGTTGGGTTAGGAGGATCATATAATTCCAAAGCCTCTATCAGCTTCAGAGTAAGTTTAAGGCCTACCTAAACTAAAGAGTGCATTCAAAACCAGTGAATATATATATGCCATATATATATGGCTCTCACCCTGCCATGAGCCTACTTTATGTGCAAGACAATGCCATATATATATATGGCTCTCACCCTGCCATGAGCCTACTTTATGTGCAAGACATCCCTCGTGTCACTATTCCTCGGAAGATAGTAGGGATTTAGAAATGAGGGACTTCTGACCCAGGTGAAAGGGAAACTGAGGCAGAATCTTCCTGGCCCCCTCCCCGCCCCCCAGTCCCTCT